AACATCACCAGCCTAATTCATTCAAGCCAGTTTTGATAATCTGGTCTAAACTCCTCAGTATTGAAGGAAAAAACAGCTGAATAAAGAAGTATATTTCTGCACAAATTTTGTGAAATGGAGGCAGATGATTTGCTTATAACTCAAACCATTTTACCCACAGAATAAACTGTTCTCTTAGATTTCCAGTAAAATGATTTGTTTTTCAGCTAGCCACTGTAGTGTTTGGTCTGGATAAAAATGTGTGGATGCCAGGTTTTTTTTTTATGATAAGACAGATGTAGTGAGACATCTGTAATTGAGTCATAATTTGTTTCTTTCCAGGGTTCTCTTGCTTTTGTACCGCAGCAAGCCTGGATCCAAAATGCTACTTTGAAGGATAATATCTTGTTTGGATCTCCACATGAGGAAGAGAACTTCAAAAAGGTCATACAGGCCTGTGCTCTTGCCCCTGACCTTGAGCTGCTGCCTGGAGGAGACCTCACTGAGATTGGAGAGAAAGTGAGTTACACTTTGAAAGGTTCAGGTTTTTGGTTACACAAATATTTTTCCTGTATGCAAATACTGTGTATGGCGTTTATTGTAAACATATGTAAAATATTTGTTTCTTAAATACATGACAAAAAAGTAACAAAACAGAAGAGCTCTTCTGATTATAAAGGAAAGGCTAAAAGAGTGTGTCTCTTTTCCCCTCCTTTCTTCTCTTTTCAGGGTATCAATCTCTCAGGGGGTCAAAAGCAGCGAGTGAGCTTAGCCAGAGCAGTCTACAGTCAGGCTGATATCTATCTATTAGATGACCCTTTGTCTGCTGTGGACTCACATGTAGGAAAGCATCTATTTGAAAATGTAATTGGACCCAATGGATTACTTAAAGACAAGGTTTGTGCTTAAAAACATATGCTAACAATATTAAAAATGGGGATTAAGAATAACCCAATCATTTATAATACAATAAGGGTCTGGGGGGAAATGCGTAAAAGGTTGGGTAGAGAAGATTGCACTTCATTCTTGACTCCTTTACTGAGAAACAAAG